CTACATTGCAGGAGTGAGGCGGTGAGCTGGTGGTGGTGGGGGGGGGGGGCACCTGGGGGCTCAACCGGGCAAGCTCCTCCGGTGGCTGGGGCTTGGGCCACGTGGGCTGCTCCTCCAGTAGTGGAGCCAGGGTAGTGGGGCAGGGACAGCCCAGCAACCCCGTGGAGGCCGGGGGCAACCTGGACGTGCTGGCTCAGCAGCGGGGTTGTGCTGTGGCAGCCTGACGGGGGCTGTGTGCTGGCCCAGCAGTGGGGCAGAGCCGTGGCAGCCTGGCCACGGCAGCCCCACAGGGGAAGCCCGTTCGGCGCTGAGGCAGCGGAGCCGGGGCTGCGGCAACCCAGCTGGTGCTGGGCGGGTCAGCAGCCCGGTTGAGGCCGCCTGCCAGCTGGCAGTGGGGCTGGTGCCCCTGCAGTGCGGCTGCAGGTCTGTGGGGCCAGGTCTGTGTGCTGCCATGCCGACTGCCATGCTGGCTGGATCAGCAGTTACAGCAGCAGAGCCAGGGCAGCTGTGTCCCCCAGCCAGCCGTGGAGAAGAAGGAGCCAGAGGAGGGGACGGGCAGCAGATTGAGGGGGCCAGTGGCAGGGGATCATAGTTCCCTCTAAGCTGTGCAACTGCACAGCTGTTTTCTGAGCTCTGCTCAGAAGTTCAAAGCTCCTGCCAGGCAGGGAGCTCAGCTGATCGGCAGGGGGCGGGGCATTGTCTTGCTGAGCAAGCAGCTAAATGAAGTGGCTCTGTGCTTGAAATGAAGCAGCTCCCAGAGCAGGTAATAAAAAGCAAGATAAGGAGAGAATAAGTGGCTAGTCGGGGGAGGAGGAGGGCAGGAGTGGGTAATTGGGAGGGAGAATCAGAGGGGAGGGGAGTTTGGAGAATCCCTTCACAGGAGAGAGAAGCAGAAACTCAGCACTCCCAAGCCTCCTGGGAAGGGGGAAGAAAGGGACTAACTGCATGGAGTATGGGGGGGGGGAAGAGAGTGGGTGGGTGCTGGCATTGGTGTGAGGTTGAGGCAGGGGGAGCTGGTTTGTGCTGCGAGGTGGGGTGGGGTGGATAATTTGTTTGTGCTTTATCTGGGAGTTAGGACAGGAAACGCCGCTGGCGCCTGCTACTTCGAGGGTTTTATCCCAGCCCCCCCTGTCCTCACCCCAGGCTGCAGGGAGCAGACTGCACAGGGGTAGGTGGGGGAAAGACTATAATTGACTTTAAAAAGTATCAATGGCACGGAGATCTGCAAACAGAATAAGTGAAATCTCGGCATGCCACTTCTGAAAGGGAGCTGACCCCTGCTCTAGAGGTTAATGTACCACAATAAAAGCCAGGTCTTCGGTTCAGGGCTGGACTAAAGGGTGGGTGAGCCAGGCAGGTGCCCGGGGCACCAACCGATGGGGGCGCCTGATGGCAGCTGTAAGGGGTGTGCGGCGTCCCTTATAGCTGCCAACAGGTGCCGCG